TACTGAAAATCAAAAAGAGCAAATTGAGCATGTTTTTTGTTCTGGTTTGCGTATGATATATTCGTTGTGGGAATGGGATGATGTAACAACATTAATTTTAAGTAGAGAATTAACACTGCGCGATTATCTTTTAGAATATTAGTTAAGGTTTAATAAACATCTAAATGAGTCGGTTGAAGCAACATCTTACCAGCAGACGTTGAGTGCTAAATCTCCTGATAGGATGTGGTATAGATCAATGGGGTTTAAAAAAAAACAGTTTTTTTCTTACTAGACTCTCAAAATGAGCTCAACATAGCAAAATCGACTTGCTTAGATTTGTTGATGTCCAGATCAAATCTTTCTATGTATAGTGTATATATATATGTTTTTCTTGTTTTTTTTCAAACAATGTTTGTTTATACATTTTTATTTTGGATATGGAGGGGAGATATTGTTAACCTTATGGAACAATAAAATTGATTCAATATTAAAAAAAAGAAACCTTTCTGGTAGTTTTAATCAGCTCGGTGAGCTGCGTCGAATGGAAGGGTCTGTTTGATAAAAAATTTTCGACTTCCTTATGTCTCCTCCAGGTAGACCTCAAAAGGCTGAAACATTTTTTGTCCAACAGATCCTGCCATTCGCAGCTCACCCAGTTGATAAAAACTACCAGAAAGTTCTCTCTTACGTCTTGTGATGACTGAGCTGTAAAGTGATGCAAGTTGCCTATCCATCTATGAAAAAAGCGAAAATATTTGTAATTGAAGTTTTTGAGCTAAATTCTAGGTTCTTTTAAGAACTAGAAAACCTACTCTAAAAAGCACTTTAGAATCTCTCGCAAAAAGATACTTCGAACTTTTCTCTTTTTAATAAAGAAAACTTGGATTACTCATCACTTTTTGCCTTGAGTTATTCAAAAAATGATCGAATCTATTTTATTAATGAGCAAACAGTAATCATTTTTTATTTTCTTACTTCAAAAATATTACGTACGTTTATACTTTTTTCAAGTTTTTCAATTTTATGAATTACTGACAGTGCGATAAGTAATTTCCCTAGTGCTCTGATACTATCATGAGTATCAAGGGCATCTTTTGCAAACCAAATGTCCGAGAAACGGAACTCAAAAGAGATAATAATAACCTTTATCTACTGTGTATTGCTCACCTTTTCGTTTACTCTTGATTTTAATTCTTCAAATGGTTTCGTTTTAAAATCTTCAATCAAACGTTTTTTCTCTTCGATTTTGGCACGATTTGATTCGCCTGCTCCTATGAGAAAAAATGATAGCATTTAGGCGTATTTGCATTTATATGAGATTGTGTTTTGACTCACCAAAAACATCTCGTATTGTTTGAAATGAAATATCTTCAGTAGTTTCACCCTAAAACATAGGTCAATTATTGTAACATACAGTTTAACAAAGTATTTTTCTGAAATGAAAATCTACGTTTCATAGTATGTTTAGAATTTTATTTAAGACCCCTCCTTAGAAATTATCTCCGACACCGTACATCCGATCTTGACGAAATTTTCCTTAAATGTTAGGCACAATGAGTTATGGGAATGAAAAAACTTTTTGGTCTCCAAGTCTTACCGTTCAGGAGTTTTCCTGAGATCAAGATTCAAAAAGGACCCTGAAGTGTCTCCCAAGAATTTTTAATATACTTCAAGCTGGAGAGTTCGGGTTTGTTTTATTTTAAATTAGACACCTAACTACATGGACTGACAGGACCGATTTTTTAATTAAGTCTTTATTGGTTTTCCAGGCAACCAACAATCTCCAAAACCCGAAAAATCTATTATTTGAAGAGCCGGTTTTTCGAGACTCTTAGAAAACTTGCTCAGAATCCCCGAAAAACCACTTTTGTAATCAAAAGCAATACAGATTCTAGAAGTCGACACTTCAGGCTATCTTTCCATGTGCTTATCTCAAAACCGATTTTTTGACCGAAAATCACCATTTCTGAGGTGCGGACCCCTTAATATTAATATCGTAGTTTCTTCGTTAGGCTCAATTTTCTTTTCGTTTTTTTTATACATACGGGTGGCGTTGTATCGCCATCACTGATTAATGATACAGAATCCGTGCCATCTGGAAGAGATTGTCGATCGGGTTCTAGAAATTTATTAAAAAAGACACATTATAATTTCCGTGTAGAAAATTAAAGTGAAACGGAAGTGCAATATTTTTCTTTCTAGGCGAATACTCTATGATGCATAAGTAATGACTTCATTCTTTCGTCATTAGAAAGAGCGAGATCTCAGCTTCAAAATGCATGTTTTGAGAAAACATTTTGATAAAGTTAAGTGAATTAAATTTAAATTTTAAAAGAACCGCCAAAAACGACATGTTACAAGACAATTTTAAGTGAGTTGGACTCGCTGGATCTGCGCTAAGTTTTTGGAAGTCGGGATTAGATGCAAAATACGACTAGTCCAATAGGTCTTATCACTTTACTCTATATTCTCTGAAACTTTCAGCTCTCCACCTCCTTGTATGATGGTAAGTTTTAAAAAAGAAAAGCGCGAAAAAAGGTTGAAATGTTACAAACCGTTTTTGTGCGGTTCTTTTAAAATTTAAATTTAATTCACTTAACTTTATCAAAATGTTTTTCTAAAACATGCATTTTGAAGCTGAGACTTCGCTCTTTCTAATGACGAAAGAATGAAGTCTCTAGCTCATTCTGGTGAAAAAACGGCTCATCTCAACATTTGTCTCATTACTTATGCACCGTAGGTTAAGTCGTTGAAAGTGACAGAATTGAATTTAGAAGTGTGTTTTAAGCCGAAGGAAGGCTGGTTTTAATTCAAAAACCCCTGCCATTCATTTCGTATGTATCAAAATAATACCGCGTTCACAATATAACTTGTCCTTGTCTTATTATTTATTACTAATTTTAGTTTATACAGCATGTCAAAGTTTCCTGTAAAGAATGTTGTTATCTGTCTTTTAATCTTTATTTTGAACAGAACTGTGATATGAATTACATAGAAGGAGAGAGAGATGCAACTTTTGTTCACTTGTTTTCTAGCATCGATAATCCCCTGCCATGTTTGAACTTCATAAATTTTTTTTGTCTTTCCTCTTCATCAATAGTGCGAGAAGAAAATAATGATGATGAAGAAGCAAGAACTTTTTTTCTTCTAGTTCCTTCTTTTGTAACATGAAAATTCCAAGTATTTATTGAATTATTAAAAAAAGTAAAACATATTTTTATGACCTCATCAAGAGAACGAGTGTGTGCGTGTGTGTGTGAAGAAAAAGGAAAACCTGAGCGTCGTTCAAGTGTTTTATGCCTGTCTGCACCTTCACGCTGCTGCTGTTTGTATGCTTCTACTAATGAAACACGAAAGTGAGGTGAAAGAGAGAAATAACAATATAAGCACATAAATAACAAGAAAAAAGTGTCACGGAAATTTAGTTTGTCGATTAAAACAAAAGGGGTTTATAAAAGAAGAAAAAAATATTATTATTCTTACGATTATTATTATTAGTAGTATTAGTATATTAAACAAAGACGAAAAGAGGAAGAGAAAGTGTGTGACAGTGTGTGTGTGTGTATGAGTATGTGTTAATATAAACACAGATTGTTCATCACGCAAACACCACAGTAACGTTCAATTTTTCTTCTCTTGTTTTACTACGATAATAAATGAGAGATTATACGAGATTATATTCATTATTATTAATGAATAAAAATTAAAATAGGTAGAAGGAGAATATAAATGAATGGTAAAGTAAGTATATAAACCTTCAAAACATACTTTAACATTACCATAAAGAAGAAAAATAAAAAACATACTCCAATTCTAAAACATCGAACGTGTCACTTGAAAGTGGTTAATGATGTATTAATAATAGGTTAAAATTAACAAATTATTAGTAGTGTTCCTATCGGATGTGAAATTATAACACACGCATACAAAGATCAAGTAATTTTTTAAACGGTGATAGTTAAAAGAGAGAACAGATCCTCCAGTAGAAGAAAAAAACAAACTTGAAAATATTTACGAAATCGAAGGTGAAGATTTATTTCTGTAAGAAAAAAATAAGATAAAATTTTTTTTTTATTCTTTATAAGAAAGTGTAACATCGTTCAGTGAAAATTTCTCCTATTATTTTTCTAATCTATCCACGCTTATTCATATGTATCTGTTATGTGAGACATGTCTTTCTATATACAATTGGATTGAGCAGTTTATTCAAAGATTTTGAAACAATAATCAACTTGAAATTATGATCATCGTTTAAAACAGAAAAGCAGCTGTTTAATGACAGTTTTTTTTTTACCTCGAAAAACTCTAATCGAGAATTCCATATTATTCTTATCTAAAGATTTTCTATAGAAAATAGACAAACATACATGACTGTTTTTTAATATAAAAAGACGAGTACGTTCCTTTTTGTCCTTATTTTTTCCTACGGACATCTGACAGAACAATTTGTTCCGAACTCCCGTTATTTTTGAAAAAATCCGAATGTTCGAAATGAAAAGTCTGAAAGATAGAAATGGCAAACGATTGGATGTTCGGAACGATAACCCAAAAAAAATCCAGATGTTGGGAATGAAAGTTGTCCAGGTATTCGGGAACGGCATGAGTCAAAGCTTTTTAACAGTTTTTTTTTTTATAAAAATTTCTGGATGTTCGTAATAGAAAATGTCCGGAAAAACTGAGAACGTTCGTAACAGAAAAGAAACAAGATTACAGCATATCTTTTGAGACAAACACTTTTTGTTGTGAACATCCGATGTTTTTCTGTTCCGAATTTCCGGAGATATCCTATTACGATTCGGACACATCAGTCTTATATAACTTATGTTTTCATTATGAACATCCAAAAAAGCGATTTTATGCTATATAGATCCGATTTCGAACATTCCGTCATTTGTCCGGATGTCCGGAAAATCAACGACGAAAAAGGACAGTCCCAAAAAGACACGTTCTTTTGTTTTAGTTATGGATTGTCATACATGATTTTGATCATTTCTGTGTTTTTTATTTTTCAAGCATAAATGAACGATTTAATGATACATGTGGAACTTATTATTGTCGGTTTAATTGGATTAATTGGATTTATCTTTAATTGGCTATTAATTTTGGCTATTCAACGTAAAACGTACTATTATCAACAACATCAACGTTTACATCAAATAACAGGCACTGGTACAACACCGGTAACAACTCCATTTATTACTCATTCAAGTATTTCAACATTAAATGGTTTACAACAGGCAGCTGTAGAAGGTGGAGCTCATATTCAATCAACAAAAACATCAACATTAGATAAATTTATTCTTTCATTACTTATTAACGATATATTTGTTTGTAATTTTTTAATACCATTACATTTAATTGATTTATCTAGTGGTCTTCCATGTGATTTTCTTTGTTATACATCAAAATTTATTGAAAAATTATCAACCGTTATTGAACTTGTTATTATTACACTTCTTATTATAACATCATTTTTTTATTTTTCTAAAAAACGTTTTAAATCATTAAAACATCAGCCAGCAATTGAACGTATATGTTTTTGTTCAATTATTCTTTTATTACCACTTGTTGGAATTTATATAGCAGGAACATTTTCAGTTACAGCTAATGAACAACAATATTTAAAAATTAATCGTTCATCATGTCAAAAAACTTATGTCTATATTCAAGAATCAACACAAACAACTCTCAATTGGTTATGTTTTATATTTACATATCTTATTGCTAGTTTTGATTTAATATTATTAATTAAAATTAAATTATCAATTAAAAATTGGACATTAAGAAATGTTAAAAATGTTTCAAGACATGGTGAACAATCCTATTCTGAAAATAGTTATCCAATGCATGTAAGATTTATTAATAATTAGAATAATATTTTTTAATTTATCTTTTTTTTTTTTGTATAATTGTTTATTTTTATTTTTTTTAGAGTATATCGAGTGATATGCGTTCTCGTACACTATTAAATTATTATGATTTTCATCAAGCACAAGCAACACCACCTAATCGTTCACCACCATTAGATTATTCAAATTATATTAATATTAGTGAATTTGCTGGTGATATTCATACACTTGGTAATAGTACATTTCTTCTCTTATTTTTATATGTTCTCTCCTATGTACCCTATTGGACACATGAAACATCAGGACAAGAATCTCTAACAACATCATCAATTTTATCATTAATACAAAATGATTTATATTTATTTACACATGCTATTAAACCATTATGCTATTTAATAACACAAAAAAAATTACGTTCACATATTTGGGCAATATTACAATGTAAAACATTTCGAATATTACCACAATTATTAAGACGAAAATCACGAATGATAGCTGTAAATAATAATATTTTAGGTCATAATACATTACAATACTAACCTGGTTCAGGATGAAATTCTCGTTCAAATCGTGATACATCATGACCACTATTATGTAATGCTGATACAATAATATCTTGTTGAAAATAACATTCTTTAATAATTGAACGTTGTCGTTCTGATGAGGATGAAAATTTTTTTATATTATTAGATGAAAATGCAATTGGTGGAAGAAGATAAGGAGCACGATTTTCACGAGCACGAACAACCTAAAAATACATATAAATTCTATTAATTTAGTTTAAATTTTTGTAGAACATTAGATAAAGATATGATGGTAATTCTTTGAAGAATAAAATACAATGATGAAATAAGATAACTTTTAAAAGTGATACAAGCAAATTATAGTAGAAAAATGATTCTAGAATAACTTACTTCATCTACATGATGATAAAATTGTGTAATGCCGTTTAATTTTGACATTAGATTAAAATAAGCTGCTATAAGGGCATGGATACAATTTTGATTTAATATTGGTAATTTTGTTTCTTGACTAGTGGGAGACGATGGTTCAGACATTTTTATTATTGTAGACTAAAATTAGACTTTAGAATTAGAAAAATATATACGAATGATATGAGAGAGTATGTTACTTGTATTTCAAAGCAAAAGTGTATAATATCTACAAGAACATCCTTGTCACCCGCTTCTAATGTAACCAAATTCATTAGACAATAAATGGCATGAAATATATCGACACTATTATTCTCATGTAATATACAATTATATAATTGGGATAAAAATTGACGCCCAAACTTAAAAAATAAACAGCAAGAAATTAGCTCAATGTAAAAGAGTCAAAAAGAGTTAAACAATTTTACGTAATCTTCTCTAGTCCCCAGAATAGAAAGACATGATCTTCTACTGTGTCCCAGTGGATCAAACATTTTTAGGGTGATCTTCTGTTAGGAGTGGCTTTCTAATCCGAAATTTTCTAAAAGTTTTTTCGAAACTCGTAAAAAGCTTAGAATAAAGGTTTTTTTTGTTTCACAACAGTTAACTGATTGGTGCTCTAGTGTATTCAACAATTGAGAACACGGGTTTTAAACTGTCTTTACATTTCCGAAGCTTTGCAGACCGAAAACAGCCATATAAAAGTTCGTCATACAGACAATTAAACTGCTATGTATTCGTTCCTACTGAAATTTTCCTCTTCTCTGCGCTTCTGCCATCAACATCAATTATGAGAGTCAATATTGTCGCGTCGCTATCGATTTGAGCATAATGCAATTGATCGAGATGACTGAAACGATTATACTTCTCTATGTTCGACGCAGAGATGTGCAATCCAATCGTATCCGACCCGACCCGACGGTTGGATACGGATTTCGCTTTTTTTATTTAACCCAAAACCAGAAAATTTTAGTGGAATACCACAAAAGTTTAGTGAAAAAATGTAGATTTTTAGCTAAAATACATGAGGTTTTAAAAAACAGTTACTTGAGAACGTAATGATAATTTGTCATCTTCAGTCGAAAAACAAAAGTTTTTAGGTAGAAAACGAAAAAGGAGAAACTTTTTAGACATAAGTCGGGTACGGATACAAAGTTCTCGGATCGAATCGGGTACGGGTATGAAAACGGTATCCGTGCACATCTCTAGTTCGATGCTTAGAGTCATTCGATAGAACGGATAATTAACAAAGAAGGGTCATACTCTATACTTCTGTCACAACTCCCTGCTGCGAAAATTCCAAGAGCCAAGACCGAAACTATTCATAATTTCATGGTTTCTAGAAGTCAAATGCTGAAACGTTTTCGAAAAAAGTGGCGTGGTGGATAGATTTTACAGAATTGTCTGTCTCATAGTTGGCCTTCTATTCTGGACGAGGGGGAGAAAGGGAAGGGGTTACCTTTTTCATAAATGCAATATCAAATAGACGATTTGATTTTGTTTCTGTTGGTAATTCTAACTGTGAGATATCTTTTGGAAGTCTAAATTTAAAAAGAAGAGTATAAAATCATGCAGAGGTATGTTCCAAATATTTGAAATACTTTATTTTTTGTAATTTGTCTGAATATCTTCTTCTATCAACGAGTGATTGTAATATTTCAATAACAATTAATCTCACTTCAGGTTCAGGTGAACTCATCATTTTTAAAAGAGGATCAAATAATTGATGTGGAAAAGTGGTCTGAGTTGATGTTTCACGACGATGAGTCAATTGGTATGTCGCGGCAACCTAAAACAATGAAGAATACTAATTCACAAATTAGATATTTCGAAAGAATATGGTCAATAACAAGCGGAAAAGATACAACCGAAAAATTCAATGAAAAATGTAGTGGTTTAAGGCAGTATGTGTGTGGAAAAATTTCATAAGTCGATAAATGCTGCATTATTACGAAGGAGTGCTGTGACAGTGCTCAAACTCCTCCTTTTCGTGTGGGTCAGAGTGGCAATGAGATGCAGTTTCAAACTCTGTGGCTCTCAATCACACTACAAAGCTCGTTCTTATGATTATTTTGTAAAATACGACAATAATTGATAAAACGAAGTTCTCACGAATGTACCAAAGATAATAATACAAAGATATAAGTAAACGGTAGAAAAATTAGCGTTTCATGTGATGTCATATTCGACAAAAAGCAAAAGAAAACTAGCCAAAGAATACGGAGTGAGTGTGAAAAATTCGGTACAAAAATGTTCTATCATTTTAAAAAAAATTGTGAATTTTTCAAGTTTATCTGTGCACACCCTTCATTTCTGTTTAAGGATACACGTTTATTTTCTATTTTTCAGCCACTAAGATAAAGTTTGGACAATTTGGTTTAGACTAAGAACGAAAATCTTGTGTTCTGTTAAACTCTGTCTATTTAAGAGCCACACACAGTGCTTTATGACTTGAAAAAATGGTGCAAAATATTATAGAGCTAAAGGATAGCTGTGATGGAGGGAACAGATGATCAATTATTTTATAATAAAATGCCGTGCATTCAGTCAAAAACCAAGGTATTTCCAACAAAAATTTTATACACTTATCCCATTGTATCTTAGAGTATTTTAAGTATTTTCGCGTACTTTTAATGACTAACACCACTTACATCCTCGTCTATAGGACAGCAATCATTGACTATGAGACATGTGAAACTCTCGGCAATTACCATCAACGTGCTACGTTTAACTATTAGTTTATACAGATTTTGGAGAGAATCTTAAGGACTATCCAATCATTTATTTATCTCGAAATGTAAGTGGAAGAAGTATGAAAAAAAACATCTTTTACTCATATTACAGGCTGTCGCTGAGAAACGACTGATTCCTATTCTATAGACGAGGATATTAGTTGCGTTAGCCACCAAAAGTACAAGAAAATATTTTAAATACTCTACTACTAAAAGGAAGAGTTGTTTGCGGAAAAAACAAAAAGAATTGATTATTAATCACATACGGTGCCTGCGTTGTACAAGTATCTTTCCTCACAAAGATACTTATAGGGAGCAGAATCTATAGTCAAGACTTTCTACTCATGATGTGAACAAGTACACCTCGAATTATATGCACAGATTCTAATAGTTTTTATAATGACGAACTGTTATTTTTCACAATAAACTTGTATTTTGTGAATATTTTCCAGTAAAATTTCTATCACATTTAAGATCAATAGATTTTTTTTATGCTCGACATTGCTCAATTACGTCGGAGATCGTTTTCAGAAGTTAGTAATTACAATTAAGATGAAATAAATAATTAATATAAAGAATTTGCATGCAATGAATAGACACCTCCTTTGATCGCATTTTTTTTGATAGTGGCCGATGAACCTAATGGTGTATGGACGAAGGATATTCATTACGCCATTCAACAATAGAACTCTTACCTTTTGAACAGTCTTCAGCAACAACAATTGTAATTTGAGATTTGCATTTCTAAACAAATAATAAATAAAAATGGGATGATAGTTCCAGTGTTTAATATCTGAGTAAATTCTATGAGATATCGACCACTTTACATACGACTATTTTGCAAGGGGAAAACAGTGGAATTTAGTCCGTTAAATTCATGTAAATTCAAAATTCACCTGAATTCACTCAAATTCACGTAAATTCCTCAAAAAGTCAAGCAAACTTTACTTGAATTGAACAGGAGTCAGAGAGAGAGAGAGAGAGAGATGCTAGTTAACCTCCGAAATCTACCATGATAACGGTGTGAGTATTAAATAGCCAATACTGTGAAAAACATTCGTGTAGCAGCGTTTAGATTTCTCTTGTCTTTCTACTATCGACGCCACGAATAACTCCAAAACGATAAAAGATAAAGAATTGTAATTTTCAACAATCGAAAAAAGACAGTTTAACCTATGCTTTCGTAAGCGAAACCCTTTTGCGAAGCCATTCGGAAGGCCGATTTTCTGGGATATCTTTGGAAAACCACTTCGGATCTCCAGAAAATGAGATGGTAATCTATCAGTTTGCTTTTATAGATAGATAGTCCAAAGTGTCCTCTTCAAAATGGGAATCAAGCGAATTTTTTAATAATTAATAATTTTTCCTAGTTCACGCGTGGCATCGGATTTCCTGAGAGTCCCAGGATCAATATTTCTTTAGATGTGGTAATTTCAAAAATAAATGCAAACATAGGTAATCGATCACGCTGAATCTCGTGGCAATATTTGTTTTTCAAAACAGTTCCAAAAACCTGGTGAAATAGCCCATTTTTGCCTATTTTTGAGTGATATTAAAAGATTCATAATCCAGTCAAGATCCATCCAAGTTATGCCAGAATATCAAGATGTACTCTATTCTACCTGCTCAGTACGATTTTTTTCTTGAAATAGTAAAAAACATTTTTGTACTTCGGAAGATTTCTAGAAAACCTTTTCAAAAACCAAAGTATTTTCTGTTGGTTTTTAAAGCTTTTGTTGAACTGCAGAGTATTAAGCAGGTAAAACGGAGTACACCTTGGTATTTTGGCATAAGTTGGATGGATCTTGACTGGATTATGAATTTTTTAATATTACTCAAAAATAGGCAAAAATAGGCTATTTCCCCTAATACAGGTTTTCACTAGATGTATGTCAAAAGACTACAATATTCTGATCAAGAGAATGTTCTGCTTCTCTCCATCAGCAGAATTATAAATTGTTTTTAGTAAAATCGAACTTAAATCGTTAAATTTTCAAGCTCTGTCAAATAGCACAATTTATGTTTATATAACGAACGTACAGGAATGAATAGCAGCAAAGAAACTTTCGCGAAAATGCTGATTTTCATCAATTTTGAGTGTTTGCCAAACTTCTCTCTATCCTTATCATTTGTCTTCATTTCTATTGACAAGCAGTATAACCCTGTAACTATAGCACTGATGAAAAATGTATTGAACATTATTAGTTTCAAAAAATTTTTTTATTGAGAACTTAGAAATTTTTTTTACTAGCTTCGGATCTAAAGAAAAGAGATCTCTTGGAAAAAATCTGTTTTTATTTACAAAATTTGCTTTTAGTATTCATGTAAGTTCATAACATCAACAAACTATATCGCATTGATTCAAAATAAATGACATCTTTTTTCAAGTGACACCTTGCTCTATAGTTGTTAAAAAGCAATAATGTCGATCCTGTTCTAAACAACTTGTCAATGTTTTAACAACTCGTTGAAGGACATTTTTCTTGATCAAAATATTATGGTCAATCTTTTGAGATACGTTGTAAAAGAAAATTAAAAAAATGAGAAGAAAAAAACAAATGATCAATACCCTGTGGAATTACTTATCTATATAAATGCGATATCTACCTTGAATCTGGTGTTTCATGTCGTTCTTGATTTAGAGTTGGCAATGACGTTATTATGAATTGCATTATTTCCATCATTTGAAAATCTGGTAGATTTTGAGCAAAATTACCAATACCATTGATAACGGCTGTTTGAAATTTTTGTTCTTCAGTACTAGAGGGTGGCGTTCGTTCACATTCAATTTGAAATGATTTTTTCAAAAATTTTAATAAACGTGCAATGCCCGTGAACATCGTTGATCCTAGAACACACAAAAGCTACCTTTCTAACTGTCAATACAAATATGTGGAATTTCTACAAACCAGCTCCAGTATTAGCAGCTGCAAACACCATACAATCTTGAATAACATTCATAATACTCGTTTTGATATCAGCCGTTTCTTGACGTTCCAAATGTTTTTCTAAATGGACGAGTAGCAACTCAATTACTAGATAACCATTGTGATGCTAAAATAAAACAGAAAATTTTTAAATCATTACTCATAGAGCTGGTGTAGCTTTACTTTAATTGATCTCATTATTTCAGCTAATATATATTTTGAAAAATCAACAGGAATCCATTTCATATGATTATCTAAATGACTAAAGAAAACAAAACTCATATTACTCATACTATTCATTTCAAAATAGAACATAATCCATTATTTTCTTTAATAACGTGTGATATTCAAACGACAGATGTCTATTTTACAATACTACGCAAATTCCATTGAGAAGCTATGAGATTTTTATGAGATCCATTTTATATGAGATTTTTATGAGATCCATTTTATATGAGGTTTTTGAATGAATTTTTCGAATTTCTTTACTAGTCTCAACGATACGTTGTGCATTTATTTTATGACATCATGTCATTCACTTTAATCAATTTACCTTTTTTTCTTATGTATCCAGTTATTCTTCTTTGTTCATAAACTTCCATTTTCTCAGATGTAGTTCAATTCGATTTTCCTATTCTTAACATACCACATAAAATAAATTTACTTGCTATGATAACTTGACTGAGGTTTTGCATTTTGCATGAAACTTAGTTCAATAGAATGTCGCTGCTCTGATTTCTACAGTTCTCTTCTTAATATGATTTTCCTCTCATAGGACGATAACTAATGCTAATTTTAGTGTGAAGTGATACAATAAACAAATCCGGACAAACTTAGCATCCTATTTCGACTTGACCGTTATCCTCAATACTTGTTCATATTGACGTATGCTCTTCAGCTTACCGTTGTCGCCGTACTTTTGAACAAAGGCGTGGAAAACATTGATTTTTTTGTTGAGATGATACTGCACAAAGACAAGTGACTAATTCCATCATCGTTTTCATAACGAAGTTAAACATGTTCCATGCTCCGAAATTCTGATACTGTTATCACTGGCGGATTCAGCCAGCGAGCAGTACAAGCGATTGCTCGTACCCCTAGAGCAACAGAATGATTTTTGCCCAGTTGCAGAACTGCCTCAGAAAATTGCGTTTCTATAACGACCACAAGTACCTCATACTTTTCTTACTTACTGCATGAATCTAAGAGAAATCCTGAATCTGTCACGGACTGTTATTGATAAAACAAAAAGATTAATTCTGACATTCAAAAATAAACATCCAACGATCCCTCTAGCTTTATGTACAGTACACTATCACCATAAAAAGACCAATATGTAAATGAAAAATTACAACGTGCAATAAACGATAATGTTAATTTATTGAATTCAAAACTATTGAAAGTTAAAGACAATATTGATATCATTGAATGCAATTTCAATGCAAAAATGTTAAATAGTGACAGTATATATTTTAGTCGCTCAGGTTCGGAGGAAATGACACGTGCAATTGATAGGTATTTAAACTCTGGCTTTTAGTTTATTAGAGACGTTTGTTGTGAACTTTTCAAATAATCTTTTTTCTTCTTTATATCTTTTTAATTATCTTAGTTCTTCTATTCTCATTTTGTTTTCTCTTCCCTAGACAAATTTCCACATTATGTATTACCTTGCAATTTTTCTTATCAAGTACAGTTTCTAAAAAGTTCTCGTCAGATTTACGGTTATGATAATGCTGATTCAACATTATCATAATCGTAAATCTGATCAGTATTGCTAATCTGGATTGTTTTTTTTATAATGACATTGTTTATTTATGAGCAGAAATAGCGATAAAAATATAAATATATAAAAACATTTTCTATCTTAATAAGATGTTACAGAGATTTTCTTTAAGTTTAAAAGCTTTTTTGTTCGCATTAGACTTTTGTACCACATTACATTATTTTATTTCTTCTTGATTCTTTTCGTTTTTCTCCCATTTCTTTCTTTTAGGTATAATATCTTTACGTCTAAACACACCTTTTAAATATATCCTCTACATTCCTCCCTGTCTGGTACAAACATTTGACTATTTGCAACACAAGAGTTACATATCATACATTCGACAGACTATGAGTATGCTGTGCCACTTAGAGATCGCTGTTTGAGTTTCTTCTCCTTTACAACAGATGTTTTCTCATTCCCCGAACTGAATAATGGGACACAAGAAATCGAAACAGTCACTCGCATCTTCTGCATCACACGAACCGAAACACCAATCTATCGACAAACCTGATGATTTAGAGAATATCATACTCATTTGATTGGACAAAAATATCGATGTCAAAGAAGACACAAAACAAACAATGAGAATGCTTCGTGACATCAACGACTACGTCGCTTTTTACACTCGCCTATAGACATGTGTCGATTATATCACATCCACCGACAAAAAAAAAGATCTTTTTCGTCACATTAGGTACAGTGGACATTCTACATCACAGACAAGCCGACTGCATAGATTCACCCAAATACGAACACTTGCTCAACGAATATTCAATAATCGTCGGACTCTTCACCGAACAAGATGCACTGACGACAGCGATCCATGAAAACGTCGACTTGGTCGAGAAACAGATGGAAATATTTCGTTTCTACGACAAAAGTCAACGATCGACACGAGGCTTATCGAAAGAACAAGCCTCGTTTCTCTGCTTTCAGCTCTTCAAAGATCTCATTCTGCGAATGCCCACACAGACGACGCGAAATGACAAACGATCGTCAAATGTCGCGAATACTACCGCGGAAACAGAAAAACGCTGAACCTCATTACTGACTACGATCAGAAATACACGTCAGATGATACAGTTCTCTGATACACAAAACATTATTTCGTCTAGAGCTGATCAACAAGGCACTGAGAACAGAAGATATTGATCAACTGCACACCTTTCGCTTCTTCATCTCAGATCTCGGCTCGAATCCCGCTTACAAACACAACCAGTCACGTCATTCGTCACCGATGCATTTGTATCGCGGCGTGAAACTGTTGAATGAAAAGTTCGATGTTTTGAAAAGTAACGAAGGTCAACTGATGTTCACTAATGGATTTTTCTCAACAACTCGTTCTCCTGCACTCGTCATCCGTTTCGCGTCTAAACCAACGAAAAAAACAGATGTTGTGGCAGTCATGTTTGAGATTGAAGTGAATATGAGTGTATTTTCAAAAGTTTCAGAAAAGCAACAGAAACTGGTGTATGACTTTGCACTAGCCAAACGAACTGAATGAGACGAAATCGAATTTCAGATGTGTTGTCCAATTTAAAGGTATCATCATTCTGAGTGTTTCATTATATTGTGTGACATACATTCAATTTCAGTAATAAATACCATTTTATCATTGACTTTTGTATTTGATCAAAATAGCAAATATTTTAACAGTGTGGATTCTTAAATAGTTTGTAAGGGATCAACAACAAATACTTTTATTGAAAGGTAATAATTAAGGTAGACATCTACATGTAGAATTCTAATTTCTAAAATTTTCTAAATTTCTCTTTTCTACTATATCTTTTTAGGTTTTTTCTGTTTTTGAACTTATGAACTAAAACACTGTAATTATTTGTTTTAGTTAATTTTTTTAATTATAATAGTCATGGTTGATGTCATCCCCACCCTTATCTATAAATACAAGGATTTTCTTATAGCTGCAAAGAGGATGCTTTTTATCCTGGAGAGCTGCGAAGCAAGCCAAACCAATGGCTATCGACCATGCTGAAGCTCATGGGAACGTTAGTTTTCGGAATAAAAACCAAAACCTGCTGAAAACCAACATTAGGTGAAGTAATCCCTTTCGGGCAAAAATTCATAGCTCAGTTAAAAATGGTGCAAACCACTTCCGAATATTAAAATTAACTTTATTTACCATGTAGGTCAGTAACTGTTTTAAAAACCCACAGAAAAAATTTTTTTAGTAAGGTTTTCTAAGGATCTTCTAAAGTAAGATATTTTATAATCTTCATTAGATAACGAAATTTGAGAGAATTAAATAGCCATGAGATTCATAGTCGATAATCTATATTTTGACTCGTTTTTATAGCTGTCTAGGCTAAAAAGCATCCTTTCCAGAGCTATCAGGAAATCCCGTATAGCTTCCGAACAGCCGATTTGTAACCGGTCTGCCCTGTTTCCAGCGGTTTTCACCAATTGGAAGAAATTGTGTAAATCGGCTGGTTTTCCACCAGTGAACTTTATGAAAGCAAGTTTAGTGCTTTTACCAAAATAATAAAACAGTTTCGTTTCGAAATATCAGCTGTATTTTTTTTCTGTTCTTCTCAACTCCTTTTTTCTCTAATTAGACTGGTTTTTCCCCTTAAGAAGCACAATCCGCCTGGTCTAAAAATTTATGCAAATTGAGAAAAGCAAATCTTTTAAAACCACTAGTTTTCACTGATTAAAAATTAACGAACCGGCCGGTTTACAAAGTTTTTCGAATCGGATCGGTTTAAGGGTACCCTCTTTTTTTTGCAAAAAAATTGTCATTTTGAGCTGAACATAGTCTAATATAGAGGAAAGTCTGGGCTATAAAATGAGACCACTTCAGGCTCTCCATGACCTTCCTTGAAAAAATTACGAAGCTTTTAAGTTTTTCCTTCAAACCCTAGAAAATCAAAATTTTTAGGTTCGTAAATTTTTCTCTCCTTTTTTATATATTCAAACTTTTTTCTTATATATAGCATGATAGAAGAAAGTATGCTCTTCAAAAATAGATGTTTTCCAGAATTTTCCGATGAGTTTTCTTAGAGACATAAGCATTGCCGCAAATGCCCTGAAAAACAGAGCCGTGTGTACAATATGTGTTTTTCTCACTAGGCGTTTTTTAATAGACCCTTCAGTTGGGCACACATTATGATCCCTCGAAAAACTGGTCCGATCGAGCTCAAAATTTTACCACAGATACTTCAGACTCTATCTCAGGTTTGTTTGTTTTTTAAAGCGTTTTCGATTTCAACTTTCGGCGTGAGAAGGTTTTCAAAGTGAAAAACCAGTTTTTTATATGGGGTTTTCAGTATTTTCCGAATATCTCAAGAAAGAAAGCATTTTTTTCAAAAATAAAAAAACGAACATGAGATAGGATCTGGAGTCTCTGTGGTAAAATCTTGAGCTCGATCGGACCATTTTTTCGGGGGGTCGTAATGTGACTGGATGAAAACTGAATTTTCCAGAAAACCCATAGAAAAACACGTCAGAAAATTCTTGGCAAAAATACATCGATTTTATTTTCCGATGTTCTATCTCTGGTATAAATTTGAACCCGATTCGACATCGGCTTCCCCGGTTTCCCAGATGATAAAAAAAGAGCGGGGGAGGGGAGGTACCCTTAAAAATTCTCAACCGGTTACAACTCTACTGAACAGAAGAAGCTGGAAAGTTTGGGCTTTCGTAGAATTGTAAGGCAGACATCCGTCGTCTGAACACACATTTTGTTTAAAAAATAGAATAGGATACCGAAAAACAGCGACCTTTGTTTGAAAAAACTTTGAATGTAGTTGACTTCCGTAGATCGATTGTCTCCAGCCTCTTATTTCGAACAACGAAAACCGTCGATCTCTATCTGTTTTCTATCACACGTTATTAAAGAAATAATAGGGTGTATTCTATTCTAACATGAATAAAAAGTCAACACTTACGTGAGAATGGGCTGTACACATGCCGTGATATTATTTAAATGCGCACGACAAAATAAATCTCTTAAAACGTTTTCAGCCAATATTGATGGATCATTTTTTTCGACTAATTCAACTTGATCCGGTGTTACACTCTGAGAGAGATCATCTTGTGGTCTAAAAGATCATCATCGATTGATCCATAATGCACAGCTAGTAGATGTATAAAATATGTCTCTACCTTGAGTTTTTAACATTCATATTGTAAATAATTGATGGTACAATTTTATCCATATGTCTCCATACATCATTTTGTAGCTCATCATTAGCTGTCTTTCGAATAAGTGCATGATGACCACGTAAACCCAAACAACGAAATCTAAAGCAACGACGATAAAATAATCATTGATATTTATAACGATTAGTTAGATAGTTTGGTGATCTACTTTGTTTTGTTTTGTTCATCATTATTATGACATAATTCTGTAAATCGATCGACAAAAAATTCATAATTTCGTTGATAATTTGGTGCTTCTTCTCGAATTTCACAAAATGATTCAAACTAAAACGTGAAGATACATTCATATATCAAATTAGCCAGGCTAACTATAATTTACCGATAAGACCGCATGTTCAGTTAATTCTAAATCATTCTTTTCTTCTAAAACTAATCGTAATGCATCTAAATAATGATCGACAAATGAATTTAACTGTTGATAACATGACTTCATTGTATCATTCATTGCTTTTACACCTAATATTACATATCTAAAAGATACAAGTAAAACATTCATCATTATGTATCTAAATGGAATTATTATGTGATGCATACTGTCTGTTATTATGTCTTAAATATCTGGCCACTTTTTCTGCCATATATCGAAATGATTTGTCTAATTTTTCTGGTTTAACAACAGCATAAAATCTTAAACGTTCTAAATTATTTTTATCTAAACCAGCCTAAAATGTTCACAACAAATATTTAAAGATAAAAGAAATAAATCTATAGTAAAACATTACTTACTTGTGGATTCTGTGGAAATACATTATTTACAAGTCGTTTATAACGTGGCACACAATAATAACCACAACAATAACAATTATTACAATATTCAGACATGGTTGAACAATCTAAAACAAACAAAACTAGTAAGTTCTATATTGTAATGTACGACGAATCAGTTCTAAAAGTGAATCTTCAGCTCAAGTTTAAGAGAAATAAGAAGTGAAAAATGCATGAAGGATGTATGAAAATAAAATGCACTGTACTCGTTCTGTCATCATTCTATATTCTGTAGAAACTGTTGATTTATGCCAGAGATCATCTTCATCTACAATAGTTCTCAATTAAGGAGACTCCCTCGCTCGTTTTTCACCTTAAGGATAAATGTGAAGCGAAAGTCCGGTTGAGTTTGAATTCTTACAAGAGCATGCATCACTAATGAATAAAACATTAGAACAGTATCAGTTATCAATTAGTAGAGAATCTATACTTTATGACTTTAAACGTGTATGCACACGTTGATATACACAATTCTTTTGTTTTATCCTTTCCATTCTGTATTTCAAATACTCACAATGGAAGAATTAAAAAGAAAGAAACTGATGTGACATAATTAATGATATTCGTATTGAATTTTTACAAAGATTAAAGTTATATAGTACAGATTAATCTAACAGTTAGGCTTGGTCAAACCACGTAACTCTGCTAACGCAGTGTGATTCTGTCACAGTTTTTCTGTATTTTGTATCTCTTACAGTTTTCAAATCAAAAATATTTCCAGAACTCTGAAACATCTTAGATTGATGAGAAAAGTGTACACAATATTTTAAGATGTTCCCGCACTCTACACGTTCTTTTGTTTAGAAAAAATTACAAAAATACAAACTACTTTTTCGAATAACTTTGATGGAATTACACTACGATAGCAGAATTACGTGGCCAAGTCAAGTCAAGATAACTCATACTGTTCTGATTCACTACTGGTATATAAGTTGATTATCTACATAATAATACTATATTTTAACTATGTTTCCAATTCTTTTTCTTATATAAGTATTCTTTGAAACATACTCCATTTCCATCGTAATCAATTATTCAAGCAATATAGAAGCCTTTTGATGTTTTTCTAATGTCTTCAAGTTAGTAGTTCGCTTTTTAATGGAAATACATTAGACCAATATGTCCAGAAATAACACGAAATATAAAACTGTGATGAGTTTATTTATAAAAAATAAACTTTTATTGAAGACTTTTGCTTTTTAAACATTTATCATAAATAAAAGCTTTTTATTTGTGTGAGTGTCATGTTGTATTTATATGCGGCAGAATTCAATCTAACAAGCTATTTAAGTTCTTCGATGACCCATCTCAAATTGTGTCATCGTAAATGCTCCACCATTTTGTATTATCATCGTTTTAGTGTTGTTATGTTTAGAATGCTGACTGTTAAGAGAATAATCGTTGTTCACTACTGGTGGAGGATGTTGTTGAATGAATTGAGGCGGTGAACTCGTATGTCTAAGACTCAAATCACGTTCAAATTCAACGTAGTCATTAGTAAATTCTCCAAATTCTTCAACATCAATTCCAACATATTCTATCTGTTCATCTACTCGTAACACAAATATTTTGTTCATCACAAATAAAATAAGAAATGTTATAACAAGTGACCAGCCAAATCCACTAACTAAAATATAAATAAAAAGTGAATTCAAAATACACTAAGAAACCTTCTCAGTTGATCCAAAGCGTTTTTGCTTGAAACTAGATTTTTAAAGAAAATCCTTGCTGCCGATCACAAATCAAACGTCCGCTTCTGCTCTTATTCAGCATCTTAATGAATCTTTGAAAATGTGATCTCTGCACATTCATAATGAATCGATCCATCAAGAGATTCTGCTCTGGTCACTTTCTAGTGCACATCGACTGACCTATGGAGACAAATCTTTAGAGCTATTAAACAAATTTTAGCTGGGTTATATAATCTAAATTTCAAGTATAGTAAAATTTTCCAGCTTTGTTAGTAGTAAATTTTGATAACTCTAAGATTTTCTCTGCATGAGTAAATTGATGAGCTCTAGAAAGTGACAAAGATTCATTAAGAAACTCAATAAGGGCAGAAACGCACGTCAGATTTGTGATCAGCATTAAAAATTATTTCAGAAGAACTAGTTTTACGCGGAAAAGGGTTTTAATCACTTGTAAAAATTCCGTCATCAGAAACTTTAGAACTTTCTTAACTACTATAGAATTTAAACTGACAATATTTATATTTACCACAAAATGCAAATTGATAGGCTAATTGTAGCCAGTTTCTATCTAGCCATCCTCCATTAATCACTGAAGTCCCATCTAATGCAGCTATTGATTTTTGAGCAAATATTCCTGTCAACAAAGTTCCCATCAATCCGCCAATAGCATGTTGTGCGAATATATCAAATGGATCATCAATTTTTAATAATGTTTTCATTTTTCGTCCAAAATAAACACATACAGCAGCAAGAGAACCTATTAATATCGATGCAGGTGCTCCCACAAATCCCGATGCTGGTGTGATAACTACTAAACCCGCCATGGAGCCCATACAAAATCCAAATGTAGTAAATTTTCGTTCATTTTTATTCAATAGGTAGTAATCTAACATACACCATGTAACACCGGCTACGGATGCAGCCAAATTAGTCACCGTGCAGGCCATGCCGGCACGTGCATTTGCTGACAATGTTGAACCACCATTAAATCCAAACCATCCAAACCATGATAAGGTTGTACCCAGAACAATATGTGCAATATTATCTGATTTATGGTTGGAATTTATTGCATTTCGTGGACCGAGAAAAAAACTATAAACTAATGCTGCTGTACCCGATATTGTATGTACAGGAATACCACCAGCAAAATCGTATACACCTAATACAGATGCCCAACCATTTTGTGACCATATCCAATAGGCAACCGGATTATAAACGAGTGTTGACCAGACAAACATAAAGATGAGAGCTGGCCACATTCGTCCACGTCCACATACAGCTCCAATAGCAATACACGGTGACGTACAAGCGAACATACATTGAAATATCATAAAGACAATATCAGGTACTTTACCACTACCAACACACGGACCATTTAAAACACCCATCAATGCAAAATTATCCAAATTACCAATAAACTTACTACCCGTTTTACTAAAAGACAAACTATATCCCCAAAAAAACCACTAAAATAGACAAAAAAAAAAAAAAAAAAAATAATGAAAATATAAGAGATGCCCATTAAACTTCTATGTACTTCAAATGACACAACGGCAACTGTCATTAGCCTTCGCCACAGTAATGTGAGCGCATTTTTTGGTTTAGACATTCCACTGTAGAAGAAACCTATTCCAGGAACCATAAACCAAACAAACGCTGTTGAAACTAAAGTCCATGATATATCGCCGGATAAGTAGAGTGAAGCTAAAAATAAAAAAAAGATAAAAAATATCGATCATGACTAAGAATAGATATAAATCAATACTGGTTTTATTAAAGTTCACAAGTTATAGAAGTTGACAGCATAAGACGAAAGACGTTTCTAACTTTGACCGATGTTTTTGTATAACTGATCAAGAATCTCGACTGGGATAAAGATGAAAACAATCCAACATTTTCATGTTATTTGAGTTTATACGCTGCATCATCATATAGGCACTAGTATTAGTTCTATTTTTGAGGGAAACAAAATCTCAAATAAGAAAAAGTTTTAAATATATGAGAGGAAACTAGAAAACAAAAGTGATCAAATTTCAAAAAACTAATTTGTAAGTTAGTCATATGGTTTTTAATTTAGTTTCTTAATCAGAGTCGTTTTTGTTTTTAAGCAGAAATTTTGTCTGCCACAATCTACATCTAAGATTGAATTCATTAATATCTTGCTACTAACTAATTTACTTTAAATGAGGCCAAAAATATGATTAAATATCGTTTGATCACACACAATCTCTCATTATCAAGTCAAGCATAATATATATTTTATCTGTTCTTTTTGACAGAAAAACATTACCGACTATGAAACTGAACTTCATTAATAAATTATTGCAGTTAATTTTAGAACAAAAATAAACTTTAAACGTAATCAAATATTAATGTTTGGCAATTAAAGTGAAAAGGATAAAATACGTTCAACGTCAAAAATGACGTCAATAATTATAATAACTAAAGTGAAACTGTTGATGTATTACAGGCTCTTTTTAAAGGGATGTGGTGGACACAACCTCAGTCAGAAATGTAAATCTCTGTATAAACTCAATATTCAGATAAGAATAAAGTTAAATAGTTTAGTGTATCTACTAGCAGAATTCATTCTGGTTTTGATTATATCCAAGACTTTTCAGACAAACATTTTTTAAAAGTCTCACCAAAATAGATTCTACAAAATTAACTTATACTCTGCTGCCTTCTGCGAATAAAAAATGTGCCAGAAGTCATACGATCTTTTACTGAAAGTTATTAAATGTACTTTGATGTCACGGTTTCTATCATTATCTACATAACTTGCAGAGCTTTCTAGAATTCTCACCTCACATCGAAACTACAGAGCGATGAAATAGGAGAAAACTTGAGGCTAAAACGTCATAGGAACGGAGTTTTACTTTAAACTTCATTTTAACATAAAAGAACAATCTCCAAGCTACTTGGAAGAGATTTTTTGTGTGTTTGAGATGAATTGTTATACAATTTACAAAAAAAATTAAAAAAAATCGAAACTCAGACTCTGTGACGTTGTATTCCTAAGTTTTCTCTACAAAGTAAAGCATACTGAACTCTATCACATCTATATGAGATGATAAAATATGAAAAGCTCTAGCAGACCCATTTTATCCCCTTCTTCAACAACATATAAACATATGTCTCGCAAAACCTTATCATAACTATACTATCAGAGGAAAAGGTTTAGTATAGATTAATCTTCTATCTACCGAGATTAGTTCTACTGAAAAAGACCTTAAGTGTAATAAAGGAACTGATTTGTTATTACAGTTTCTCTCCTAAGTCAGTTTGTGCTTGAAAAATATTTAAGGAATTGAAGGTGAAGAACTCCAACACCTCAACTTGACGAATTAGTCCAAGTAAAGTTCGAACGGCAGTAATAAGAAATACAGTTTTCTTACTAATTGTGGTTGAATTATCCATCTAGGCATCAAATTTGTTGTCATGTAATTCTAAATAAAAAAAAACAAGACAGAACATAGACTTTATTTTCGTACAGTATAATAGACTTTCTTCTACACTTTCAGGTACTATAAAAAATACCATTTGACCGATACTTAGTTGAATACACTACATGTATGTGTTTTTCTCGTGTTCCAAAAATTATTTGACAAATACACTGCATTATACCTCCATTTGACGGGTAATTTATAACATACAGAATGTCGTACATGATAAAATTTACTCACACAATAAACTTTGAAATAAAAATAAGTGCTGCTGATTTACAAGAAAAAAGAAAACTCAACGCTCTAGTGTTATAAAGTGCATCACGGCTCAAAACTATACGGATGATGAATCTATAGCGTACGACAATTATTGAGGTTAATTTCTCAGAAAAGTGTCAACGCTTTAAGACTATGGTATAAATTTTTTCTAATTAACGGGATGAGTGTGCAAAAATCGAAATAAAATATATTTTCATCTAAAACTAAACTGCAGTTCTGGCTCGTTTCAAACTCTAATTGGTTTAGCATTCCAATATAGATATCCAAAAGAGAAAACGCTAAATTCCTCGGTCGTAGGCTCGACATTAAGTAATCAGAAATATCAGAAATATCACTGAAAAAACATTTTCAATCATTCTGTTTAAGTCCACGTTCTCGTTCACTGGGTGACAGCATCTCCTTCGATGCTGTCTTGTTCACCGATTATCAATACGATATTCTTTTGTCAAAAAAAGCTCAATTCTACTTGAAGACATCATTCATTCCGT